GTAACCTAGTTTCACTAAGGGTTCTGTCCTCATGGGAGTGTTTTGTGCCTCTGGGTCACATAACTCCAAAGTTGAAAGAAGTCTTTGTGGCAAGATGGTACAATGATGGTACAGCGGCAGGGTTTTCCATACTCATGTTATACCCTGCAGCAGTGGCAGCTGATAAATCTTTGACTTGGTAAGGCTGCAGTCTTCAAACTTGCTATTTTCATCACAGCAGGACACGTATAGCACTTACAGTGGTACCTTGGTTCTCAAACTTAATTCGTTCCGGAAGTCTGTTCCAAAACCAAAGCGTTCCAAAACCAAGGGGTGCTTTGCCATAGAAAGTAATGCAAAAGGGATTAACCCATTCCAGACTTTTAAAAACAACCCCTAAAACAGCAATTTAACATGAATTTTACTATCTAACGAGACCATTGATCCATAAAATGAAGGCAATAAACAATGTACTACAGTCACACAATCAATCAATCAGTAGCTGAACTGGGTTCCGCACTGTCACAAAAACAAAGAAAAAGAGCCGCAAAAACAAAATCACAAAATAAATAGCAGAAACAGATAGACCTCAGCGTAACACTCAAAATGGAAGTGTGGCACTCAAATAGGAAGCGTAACACTCAAAACGGAGCACATTCTGCTTCCGGAAAAAGTTCGCAAACTGGAACACTTACTTCCGGGTTTGCAGTGTTTGGGTTCCAAGTTGTTTGAGTACCGAGGCATTTGAGAAAGCGTGTTCTCCCTAACAGAGAGCACGTGTTGCGGTTGGGGGAACAAGCCACCCTGCCGTTACTGGGCAGATTTTGTGAGGAACCCAAGCCTTTAAGTGGTTAAAATTGGGTTGCTGGGGAGTTTTGATTGTTGCCAATTTGGAGGAGGGGTCAGAGTCTTTAAATACAGGGGCCAGACGTTGGACGTCCTCTTGGCCATTTTGCACCGGATCACATGGAGCGCTTGGACAATCTTCTCATTGTCTGGTTACATTTCTTTATTTCTTTATTTCCCCTTTCTTTTAATCCTCTCTAGTCCCTTAAATAATTTAATTCCCCCCTTTCCTGTTCGATTTCCCACCCCACCCCTTACCCTGCCCTGTGGGAAGATTCTCCCTGTAACTGTGGCTTGCCTTTCCCAATACGGGAGAGCCCCCGTTAGGGGCTTTCTTTCGCAAAAAGGTTTGCCCCATTTCTCTTGTTGAAATTGTGGGGCTAATCAGGGCTGTTCCCAGCTTAGCTGGAATCACTTTCGTTTATAGTATCCCCGAAGGTTGGCTTTATTTTGAGTGTGTGCAGTGCTGTTGGCCAAATTTTAAGCTAGCCTTGGGTGGGAGCACTAATTTGAGTTCCTTTAATATTGCTATGAGACTAAGATTCTCAAGAGCAGAAGCAGGGAGGCCTATTCGGCCTGCACATAACTTCCAAGCCTAAGTCTGCTACAGGTAGCAGTTAACTGTTAAGTCTCTGACACGTGACTCATTCTCGCTATAGGAATGTATCTGCTTGCAGGCCCAGTTGCTGCTAATGTATATCTGAGGCAGACAGAGGGCCCCAGAGGCTCCCTGTGCCTCCAAGGACTATGAGCACTCTGTATATGCTCTTGAACTATGCTGTTTCTGAACAAGTTTATTTTCTTTAAGTTTGTTTTGCCCTGATAGTGGCGACTGCCATTTTAGAGATGAGCCATTGTGGCTTAGTGGCTAAAGTGTAGGACTAGGACCTGGGAGACAGGGTTCATATCCCCCTCTTAGCCATTGTTATAACAAAACAAAACAAACTGCTCCTTTTGGGCTATTCTGTTGCTGGGTAGTTAGGCCCATTTGTGATAAAAGAACTTTGGGTTTCTTGAAAGGGTGCTTCCCTCTAAAAGGGCAAGCAGGGGTACCTGGACAAGCTGTGGGCTACCTCAACTCTGCTATTTCACTGGAAACATTTATGCCTGGCCTAGCAGGTGATCCTAGGGCTTTGCCCTAGAATTCAATGGCCTGGAAGCGTTTCCGGCCTGAATAGTGTCCCCATGTGGTCCATGAAGCATTGGTTTCACTGGGTCAGCGCATAGTGCTGGTAATGCCTGGGTTGCAGGATTGGTCCCTGTATGGGACAGCTGCATGCTCCCCCTTTGCTCTACCTGGACACTTAAGTCCTTTCGGTGGTTACCTCACTGCGAGGGATGTAACGGGCGCCACGTTTGCAATATGCAAGCGGGAGAAAGCACCTTTGCGTGCCCGCATTGCAGTTTGTGTGTTGCAGGGCACGGCGCTGCACGGGCTGCAAATGCATTGCATTGCATGAGAGATTTGCAGTTGCATTGCACGGAGCGTGTGTGCATTGCATGGAGGGTGTGTGTGCATTGCACGGAGGGTGTAGTTGCATTGCACGGAGTGTGTTGTTGCATTGTACGGAAGGTGTGGTTGCATTGCACGGAGTGTGTGTGCATTGCACGGAGTGTGTGTGCATTGCACGGAGTGTGTAGTTGCATTGCACGGAGTGTGTGTGTATGCATTGCATGGAGGGTGTAGTTGCATTGAACAGAGTGTTTTTTTGCATTGCACGGAGTGTGTGTGCATTGAACGGAGGGTGTAGTTGCATTGCATGGAGTGTGTAGTTGCATTGCACGGAGTGTGTAGTTGCATTGCATGGAGTGTAGTTGCATTGCATGGAGTGTAGTTGCATTGCAGGGAGTGTGTTTTGCATTGAACGGAGTGTGTAGTTGCATTGCACGGAGGGTTTGTGTGTGCATTGCACGGAGTGTGTAGTTGCATTGCACAGAGGGTTTGTGTGTGCATTGCACGGAGTGTGTAGTTGCATTGCACGGAGTGTGTAGTTGCATTGCATGGAGTGTGTGTGCACTGCATGGAGTGTGTTTTTGCATTGCACAGAGTGTGTGTCTGAAAAGGAAGCTGGCTCGGCGGCAGCTTTGTCGGGACTTCTTTAAGGGTTCTGGCCAGCCTCGGCCCTGTAAATTTACATATCATGATGGCAGCACAAGATGCCCCCTGCCCAAGCGGGGGCTGGAAGCTGGCAAGCAATAGCTCAATACCTTTTGCCCATATTCCCATTTTATTTAGGGATCCAGTTGGATATTCGTTGCTAAAACATACCACTTGCCTATGGAGAAGCTGTCTGCCTTGAAGGAAGTTATTTTGTAATACTTCCTCTGTAGCAAGTGATGCTTCATCAGATCCGATCTTGCTGGGTCTCTTAATTAATCTTCCCACTAGGCCAGGCTGCCTGCGGCCTGAGGTCCCCTTACCTTTGTGTACGCCTACCAAGTGTGGTGAAGGCAGATATCAGGCGATGGTAGCAATTCCTGAATGTATGCAATAGTAGAATCATAGAATCATAGAATCACAGAGTTGGAAGAGACCACAAGGGCCATCGAGTCCAACCCCTGCCAAGCAGGAAACACCATCAGAGCACTCCTGACATATGGTTGTCAAGCCTCTGCTTAAAGACCTCCAAAGAAGGAGACTCCACCACACTCCTTGGCAGCAAATTCCACTGTCGAACAGCTCTTACTGTCAGGAAGTTCTTCCTAATGTTTAGGTGGAATCTTCTTTCTTGTAGTTTGGATCCATTGCTCCGTGTCCGCTTCTCTGGAGTTCGCCATGGCAGGATACCTTGAACCCGCACAGGGATTTTCAGGTTCATGCTGGTGCTGCTGGATCTTTGCCCTTTGGTTTTTATTTCAAGGGATGCTGGTGTGCAAAGCTATGGCCTCAAGCCCGGTGTGGTGAGGCAATCATGTGACATAACTTTTCTTGAGTTTTCCCCATTGTAGTAGCAGTTCACATGTGGCCCGAGGAGTTCAGTGACCATTGGATCTGCTTTTGGTCTGATAACCAGGTAGTGGTGAGCGTCTTAGCAAAACAGTCCTCACGCTCTAGCACAGTCTCCGCCCCTCCGTTCATGCTTTCGAGCTGCGCCGCTTAAGGTTTAATATTGTGCTTTCTACTCTCCAAATTACAGGATCCTCTAATGATGTCGCTGACACTCTATCCCATTTTCAGATGAAGTGCTTCAGATCCTGGGCTCCAGACTCAGCTATTGCCAGACTTTTCCAGACCACCTGTGGCATTTTGACAACAATTAGTAATTACAGAGAGCAGCAGCTTCCATTTCCCCTTCTGCTTTTAGCTCTTATGAGAAGGCCTGGATGGATTTCTTAGCCTTAAGCTGGCAGTCCTCGGCCATTCAGATGAACTGGCCCCCATCCTCTGAGCAGATCCGCAGTATTTGGTCCACCTGCTGCAGATTGGGCGTGCGTTATAACTATCAGAATTCAGTCCGCTGCAATGTCTGTTACACTGAAGCTTTATTTTTCAGAGACCCTTGTATAAAGTTTGTAGTGCGCATGGCCTTGGAAGGTTGGAATAGGCTCCAACCTCATAGGACAGTGGGCAGGAAGCCGGTCAATTTTTACTTATGCAGTATCTGCAACAAGTTAAAACTTGTCTGCTGGTTAAAGATCAAGGCGAGACTCCTTTCAGTAGTCCATTGCATTTTCGCACTGAGGCTTGGGAAAATGGTTGTTGGAGCCAGCATGGGGCTGAGAGTCTGGAGGCTTATTGCTTCAGGACTTTTCCTTATCCTTTGGAGCTTGTCATTAGAGTTGGGAACTCTAAAACAGACTTAGTGGGCAGGAGTGCCACAATCAGGCTTCCCGCCACAGGTGAGGAGGGCCCTTGCCCGGTTATGGATAACAGAATATTTGGCTTTTCATTCCCTGGGGGCTGGCCCGCTCCTAGTGCATGAAAATGGGTTCCCGTTAGCCAGGCATCAATGTGCTTACGTCGTGCACCAGTTATTACGGCCTGCGGCTTGCTTACCGCTGAACACGCCTCATTCCTTACGATTGGGTGCTGCTGCAAAGGCTGCACACTGGGGGCCTGTCAGTAGACAGGATTGTGAATACGGGTCATTGGAAGTCTGACGCTGACAAGGGTTATATCAGGAAGTGTCACAATGATGTCTGTGCTGATGCTTGTCTGTTATTTCCTTTTCATAGGAGCAGCTGTGCACATTTGGGCCACAGCATTGTACACTAGGCTGGCAAGCAGGTTGACGAGTTTGGACTGGGGCGCCATCTCAGTCTTCCTGCCCATGTGAACATATACTGGATGTCCAGATGGGAATGCTTTGGGAGGAGATCCTTCCTTTGGTGCGGTCGAGTGTGACCTGTGCAGGTCCTCCCGCAGTGCTGGTGGTACAGCTGGGCGAGAATGTTTGCTGTCTTCCTCCAGCATAAGTTTGCATTCCTGCATGCAAGAGGGCTTGGATTGAGTTGATGGCAGCTCTCCCAGGACTCAAAATAATTTAAGGCATTGGTTCAAGGTGGTCTGGAGGGGAAGTTGGAGCACCTGTCCCCTCCAATGCGCAAAGATATTCCATTAAGGGAATCCAAGGATTCACCATGCTTTTGTCGACCCCTTTCGAGGGGTAGGGGCACGCAAGAGTCCCTGGGAGCATTTGGGGGTGAGCTTGAGTCTGATCCTGGTTCATTGCTCCCCCACGCTGTTTACTGGTACTGACGATATGGTGGGGCCCAGTCGTCAGTGCTGCCCTGCTGAGGTCAGGTGCAGCCAGTCAGGAACCAATGGCTAGACAAACTACCACCGAGCAGGCCAGAAAGCATGTTAATAAGGCGGTGGACAATAGAATAAAATAAATAAAGTAAATAAAATAAAATAACAAATAAAATAAAATAGGTCCTTGCTTTAGGTGGTTCTGTAATATTTCACCCTGCTATTTTTCTTCAAGGCTGTTGCTCTCTTTAGGGCAGATGGGGTGCATCTTTCCCCTATGTGGAACAACACCTGGCGGGATGCGATTGCCTTGGGATTCATTGCTCCCCCACAATGTTTGCTGGTACTGACGATATGGTGGGGCCCAGTCGTCAGTGCTGCCCTGCTGAGGTCAGGTGCAGCTAGTCGGGAACCAATGCCTAGACAAACTACCACCGAGAAGGCCGGAAAGCGTGTTAATAAGGCAGTGGAAATAAAATACAGGTCATTGGAAATCGAATGCATTCAAAGGTTATGTTCGTTAACATTATTGGTGTCTTACAATTTTTGCTTGTTTTATCTTAGGTTTAGCAGCTGTCCGCATCTGGATGGTGGGGCACAGCATCAGTGCACGGCAGTCCGGTTTGGGACCGGGTCTCGGCCTTCCTCCACATGTGCAGTTGCCTTGGCTGTCCAGACGGGGAATGCGCCAGCCAGAATTCCTGCCGCTGATTCGGAGGCAGGTGCTGCTGGAAGGGCCGCCCACTGCTGTCGTGGTGCAGCTGGGTGAGAACGACCTGGTTTCCATGGACTGTTTTTTCACTACGTGCTGCAATTTTGGGTGACCTGGAGAAGCTGCGGGCAGTGGTGCCGACAGCAAAAATATTTTGGTCAAAGCTTTTGCAACGACGTGTTTGGAAGGGTAGTCGTTGCCCAGCTGCCACTGAAAGGGCCAGGAAGCGCATCAATTCTGCTGTGTCTAAAAAGATTTTTGAGCTGGGTGGAGATGTGATTTCCCATCCTGAGATTCTTTTTCAGGCTGCATCCTTTTTCAGAGCTGATGGCGCGCATCTTTCTGCCTCAGGGAATGAGGCTTGGCTGGGTGCAGTGGTGGCCAAGCTGAGGGCTTGGTTGGGTCTGTGAGTGGTTTGGCGGTGAGCTGTGGGCTCCATGGCGGTTAGGCATTGGTTAAATTGGTGCTTGGAGGGGTAAGTGCCTATCCCTCCAAATGATGCGGAAAGGGAATTCCGTTAAAGGAATCCAGGGGCTTGCCATTCTTTTCGTCCTTGTCCCTGGAATCGGACTTGGGCCGTGCAAGCCCCACAGGAACATGAGGGTGAGAAGTGAGGGACTGATACCCAGCTTCATTTTCTCACCCAATACTTGTTTCCCACGCTGGCTTCCGTTGGTGTCCGGAAGGCCAGCTCTGTCCCTGAGGGCAAGGACAGATAGTCATAACCAATGCCTAAGCAACCACTCACATTTTTTGTATTTTGAATAAAGTTGTGGCCAAAATTATGCCAAAAACCTTAAACAAAAATTGATGTGTGAAGTGTGAATTTTTTGGGGGGTGGCATTGTGGGACTCAACACGCAAAGCGTGTTCTCCCTAACAGAGAGCACGTGTTGCGGTTGGGGAACAAGCCACCCTGCCGTTACTGGGCAGATTTTGTGAGGAACCCAAGCCTTTAAGTGGTTAAAATTGGGTTGCTGGGGAGTTTTGATTGTTGCCAATTTGGAGGAGGGGTCAGAGTCTTTAAATACAGGGGCCAGACGTTGGACGTCCTCTTGGCCATTTTGCACCGGATCACCCGCCCTCCCTCCCTTTAATAGGGTGGTTTTTTCTTGATCGCTTGACCTTGCTATGCCTGTCATGGGGTCGTCCGCCTTGGAGCGGGGGCCTGGTAGGAATTTTGCCATCTGGCTGATTGGCTGGTGCCATTTGGTTTTTGCCTACTGCGTAGCAAATCGTCACAACTTGTAAGGTTGGCGGTTAGGCATTGGTTAAATTGGTGCTTGGAGGGGTAAGTGCCTATCCCTCCAAATGATGCGGAAAGGGAATTCCGTTAAAGGAATCCAGGGGCTTGCCATTCTTTTCGTCCTTGTCCCTGGAATCGGACTTGGGCCGTGCAAGCCCCACAGGAACATGAGGGTGAGAAGTGAGGGACTGATACCCAGCTTCATTTTCTCACCCAATACTTGTTTCCCACGCTGGCTTCCGTTGGTGTCCGGAAGGCCAGCTCTGTCCCTGAGGGCAAGGACAGATAGTCATAACCAATGCCTAAGCAACCACTCACATTTTTGTATTTTGAATAAAGTTGTGGCCAAAATTATGCCAAAAACCTTAAACAAAAATTGATGTGTGAAGTGTGAATTTTTTGGGGGGTGGCATTGTGGGACTCAACACGCAACCAAGGTACCACTTTATTTAGGAAAGTGAGCCATAACACATACCCAATGCTTTAGCCAGACCTACTCTTTCCTGTAATCAATAAAGTTGTGACCTAATTCTACCCAACCCCAGTCTTCTGTGTCATTCTTGTGGCATCCCTTCGCCTGCTGCAGCCATGAAGCGCCTGTGCCAGCATTGAAGGAGCCTAGCCCTTCATGTGCCTTGAGTTCCTTTGTCTTTCTTGCTGCAAAGAACACACACAGTTCCTCTTCTTTAGTCTCATCTCAATGGAAGCAGCATCCCTGAGTTCAACCTAAATCACGGGGCAGATGAAAGCAGCACTTAAAAGAGTAATAGAGATAATGCTGTGCTAGAAAGTGCCTCCATAAAAACTCTGGATTAAGTTCAGAGAGCGACGGTGGCGGAAAGCCAGGCTCTGTGTTCCCTGATCTCACTGGATGGTTACATGTTTGTTTATTCGGCATAATAGTCGTTGGCTTATAGCCATGCACCAGATTGCTGCTTCCCTCTATGTCAGCAGTTCCTGTATGTTGTGTGCATGGAAATTCCATCCCACTGAATGGATAGAGGCCTCCTTGCCACACAGAAGGAAAAGGAGGAGGTGCTGCCTGGACTGAGATCTGTGCTCATCTTGGAGACGTTGGCCGAGAGCCAAAATGTGCATTATTCACACTGCAGGCTCCCTAAAAGCACCGTTTTCTGAGCAGAGGTTAATTTACTCATGGCCTGTGATTAAAAAACAGTAATTCTTCTGCTGCTACAAAGAAACACGTTTTATTGACATTCAACAAATGGGAGAAGGAAAGTTCACTTCTCAAAACTAATTAAACTGCTTGTACGGCTCAAAAAGTCCTCTTTTTGGTTCAAAAAGTAGCAGCAGCCTGTATCGTGAACAAACTCGCTGAGATGGAAGGCTCTGGTTTTAGAATATAATGAAAGCATCGTGACTTTTTCCCACATTTGGTACTGGCAAGGGAACAAAAGGGGGGAAATGGCTGAAAGACGCCTGCAAATGTTCAGGCAAAGAGATGGACAGTTAAGGAGGAATTTTAGAAAGTCCACCTATACCAGGGGCACCAACTTGGGTTGTGGGTGCCCAGCACACGTGACATGACATCACATGGCAATGTGACATCACGAGGCCCGCAGCCTCAGAACCTGACTCACGAGGCCTCAGGCAGCATCTCGGAGGCTTTGCGAGAACCTAGAAATCAGGTTTTGAGGTCTCGCAAGGCCTTGGGTGTGGTGTGGGCACCCACAAACATTTTTTGGGCCCCCTACAGTTGGCACTCCTGCCACCTACTGTTTGGCTGAGTGAGGCAGCCGCTTCAGGCAGCAGATACCTCTGGGTCATTCCCCTCTGTTGGAGAACAGAGTCTGTGTGCCACACACCCTGCCCTGTACCCTTTAAAGCTGGCCTGCTGTCAGGGCTCTCTTAAGCATATGCGGTGCTGGGGTGCAAAGATCTGCCTGCCCCCCCCCAGGTTGTCCAGTCCCAGGCGCACAGGAGGGCAGAGCCAGCCACCCACCTCAGCCCCTCTTTGGCTCGATCGCCCCCGAACGAGCGGTGCAGAGCCACCCACAGCAGAAGAGCCTGCTGCGGTGCTCCAACTGACGGGCAGGCTATTCCCCAGACTCAACTCTCAGGCCCCAGACTCTCGGCCTAGAGCCTCTGAGAGCCTAGTGCCCGGGTTCCCATGCACCCCTAGCGCCTCTGCCTGCTGTATTCAGGACGCTGCTCTGTTACAACTGTTGAAGTCACAGCCAACTGCTGATAATAATAATATAATAATAATAATTTATTATTTATACGCTGCCCATCTGGCTGGGTTTCCCCAGCCACTCTGGGCAGTTTCCGACAAAACACTAAAATACAATAACCTATTAAACATTAAAAGCTTCCCTAAACAGGGCTGCCTTCAGATGTCTTCTAAAAGTTTGGTAGTTATTTTTCTCTTTGACATCTGGTGGGAGGGTGTTCTGCAGGGTGGGTGCCACTACCGAGAAGGCCCTCAGCACTGGACCTCATTGTCAGGGCAGTATGATGGAGGTGGAGATGCTCCTTCAGGTATACTGGACCGAGGCTGTTTAGGGCTTTAAAGGTCAGCACCAACACTTTGAATTGTGCTTGGAAACGTACTGGGAGCCAGTGTAGGTCTTTCAAGACCAGTGTTATATGGTCTCGGCGGCCGCTCCCAGTCACCAGTCTAGCTGCCACATTGTCTGGTTTGCTTCTGTTCTTTGAATGGGGTGAGCATTGGCTTGTCCTTTGCCTCTGGCAGTAAAATGTCTGAAGCCAGCCCTGCTCGACAATATTGAGGGGGAAATCATGAGAAGCAGTACAAAAGTTCCAGCAACAGAATTCCCCCCAAAATCAAACTACAGTCATACCTCGGGCTGAAGTTGCTTCAGGTTGAGCACTTTTGGGTTGCGCTCTGCAGTGACCCGGAAGTAACGGAATGTGTTACTTCCAGGTTTCGCCACTCGCACATGCGCAGACGGTCAAAATGACGTAACGTGCATGTGCGGAAGCAACAAATTGCGACCCGCAAATGCAGGTTGCATTCACTTCAGGATGTGAATGGGGCTCCGGAATGGATCCCATTCATATCCAGAGGTACTCTATGGATGTATGTGATTTGTTGTTGTTGTTTAGTCATTTAGTCGTGTCCGACTCTTCGTGACCCCATGGACCAGAGCACGCCAGGCACTCCTGTCTTCCACTGCCTCCCGCAGACTCATGTTTGTAGCTTCAAGAACACTGTCCAGCCATCTCGACCTCGGTCGTCCCCTTCTTCTTGTGCCCTCAACCTTTCCCAACATTAGGGTCTTTTCTAGGGAGTCTTCTCATGAGGTGGCCAAAGTATTGGAGCCTCAGCTTCACGATCTGTCCTTCCAGTGAGCACTCAGGGCTGATTTCCTTCAGAATGGAGAGGTTTGATCTTCTTGTAGTCCATGGGACTCTCAAGAGTCTCCTCCAGCACCATAATTCAAAAGCATCAATTCTACGGCGATCAGCCTTCTTTATGGCCCAGCTCTCACTTCCATACATCACTACTGGAAAACCATGGCTTTAACTATACGGACCTTTGTTGGTAAGGTGATGTCTCTGATCTCTCTGTATGTGATTACCGCTGCCCAAATTCAGGTAGCACAAAAGTGGGGAACAGATGCAGTACCATCGAGAGAAGAATGGCACCTTAAAATATTAGAATATAAAGAACTTGCCAGCATGACAAATAGATTAAGAAATAAAGATGATAAGAATTAAAAAGATGACTGGACATTATATATAGACTATATGGGGGGGGGGGAATCGAGAAAATAAGTGTAACAGACTGAAGGGAGGGATTCTCAGCAGTAGATGTGACAAAGTGGGGCAGTGTAAGGTGATGAAAATAATTTAGTAGAATAAAAAAACGCAGTCAAAAAGACAACCGATAGGAAACCAAAGAAAGAGTGGAAGGGGAGTTAAAATTAAGACTCATAGGAGTCAATTAAATTGGAGGAATAAGTTATGTTACTATTATTATATACAGATATTTGTCTTATACTTATTTTTATTTATTTCTTACTACCATATGTTTGACTGTAACATACCATGCACTGGTGATGTGATAAAACAGAAAAGCAAATAAGCTTTCTGTCTCTCTCTCCCCCTCTCTCTCTCCCTCTGCATTGGAAAGTAACTGGCTGCAAACAGATTAAACATTATATAAATATTCTGGAAAGAACAAGGCAACCCTTTTTTTGCTGTTAAAAGACGGTAGGAACAAATTCCCTGCTCAATTTTTAAACAGAAATCCCCAAGAGTGTTCATACGTTTTAATTAGAAAGGTGCCCAAGAGATCACAAACTAACAGGCAGGCAATAGTGAAAATATACTGTTCTCTTGTATTTTCTCTCTAGTAATGAGCAGCACAAATTTTAAATGGAGTATTTGGGTTGTTTAGGGGGAAAGTAATTTGCATAGCGTAAGATAATCAGGAAAGGCTGGGAAAGTAATGCATAGATAAGTAAATATTTTGAAATTTGAAGAGTGACGCGCTACTAAATAATTTAATACAGAGCTTAAATAACAGGATGCACAGCCAGGACATCATTTCTCAAAAATCAAATGTTAAAATGTTTCTATAGCAAGACAGGGGAATTAATATAATGACGAAGGACTTCAGGTTTTAAACACTAATCCAGAAGCTTTAGAAATATACAGTTCTAATATTACAGTGAATATACAAATATTGCTTCAAGAGCTCCCATTTCTGTCATTCTTCCCCAAACCCAAGACTATCATTTTATCTCTTCATGTGAGAGCAGCCACGGCCACCAACCCATTTGACTTGCGGAAAAGGCTCTTAATCGGTTCTCCTGATCAGAGTTGCTGGATCTTTTAATTTGCAGTCTGCTAACATTTTAAATCTTCTGTTTACCTGGCTTACAACAACCTTATGAAATATTTCACTAAAATATTCTCCCGTTCAAACATGCCTTGACATTATCTGATTTCTCTCTCATTGATGACTGGCAGATGATTGTTGAATCATCTCCATAGAGGAAGCAACGGGCAAAATGAAATTTCTATCAGTGGCGTTATACTGTGATGGCTTGCCCAGACAGAAATAAAACACCATCAGCTGGACCACAGTAGTTCTTTAGTCTTCAAAACCTTTTCCCACAATAAATTTGTTAGGCTTGCATGGAACTATCTTTGCCTCAGAGCAGATCTATTGAAACAAATGACCATGACTAACTTCAGTAAATCTATTTCAGGGGGTCTACACTAAACGTTAGTTGAATACAACCCATGGGATGGTATTCAGCAATGGGCTGAGGTGGTTGTTCCGTCAGGGCAAGCAGTTTTGCTTGCCAAACAGAATTGCAGTGGTACCTTGGTTTTCAAGTGTCTTGGAAGCCAAACGTTTTGGTTTATGAACACCGACAACCCAGAAGTGAATGTTTCCGTTTTCAAACGCGCCACGGAAGTCAAACAGCTTTGGAGGCGCATTTCTCAATTTTCTCAATGGAATTTGCAGACCACCCATTGCACCTTGGTTGTCAAACGTTTCAGAA